GAGTAATAAAAGTCCACCCAACCAAAAGTTCTGGCATCGGTGTCAGTAATAAAAGACAATTCTGCCCACCTCCCCAGGCCACTGCTGTCAGTAATAACAGACCACTGTCCTTCCTGGCACTGTGGTCATAGATATATCCAAATAATCCCCCTGACATACACCTTGTTACAAATAATACCCCTGGCCGTTACCTCAGCTCACCCAAGGCACGGAATCTAAGTGACTTCACTAGAATGCCTCCCAAGGAGTGATGCTTCAGTAACTCTAGTGGCCCCCAGGCTGCTTTGCTGTGAGCTGTCACCATATAGCAAGAGGTCAGAGTACAAGTAGAGGCCGGGGCAGGCAGCAGGCAAGAGCATAGTTAGTGTCCAGGCAAAGGTCAAGGCAGGTGAGAGAATAGTTGGTATCCAAGTGGAGATTAAGGCAGGCAGCAGGTAAGAGTGTGGTTGGTATCCATGTTGAAGTCATGACAGGCAGCAGGAAAGGGAGTATCAGGAACAGGCAAAATCAGAATAGAGCAGGAATCATGAGAAGGAGCATGAAATACAGTTTGGCAACAGGCAAAAATGGGAAGTAATTCAATATGCAAGGTATCTGGCAAGAAGACAGAGCACTGGCCACCACAAGGAAAGGCTCTTACATACCCTCTAGGCTTGTAAGCATGACCAGCATCAGGGATGTGCATAGCTGTGTGTGACACAGTGCAGACAGACTGAATGAGCAATACCTCTGGCTGTACAGATGTGGATCCTAGAGGTACTGTAGCTTCTTGGTAACTTACCTTCATATACTTTGTTGCTTATTTGGACTCCATGCACTGGACTCTACAGGTACCATGGGCCAAGAGATCCCTCCTCATAGTATGTGTAAAGACTGCTGGAACACCTTGCCTGGATCTACTGCCACTCTGCACAAAGGTGCTATGAGAAAGCCCTGCATCCAGGGTCTCTGGCAAACAAGCAGGCCATAGTTTGGATACTGCTAAATTAGACCATGGTTGTTATTGCTGATGACATATTCTCATTGTGAAATAAAACCCTGATTTACTAGGTCACGTTTATGAATATGGGCAGGTTGAGACTGCTGCTGGGTAGTTAAGCACAAGACCTCTTCTTTAACGGGAAACATTTTTGTGACAGGGTCACTTTAATATTTAATATTTAAAAGTGTTGAAAAATGTAGATATATTTTTCGGTTTAAAACAGTAATGTTCAGTCAAAATACCTTTTAAATATTGTTGATATATTAGCTTTGTTTAAATCTTATTATAATCAAAAGGGTTTTCTACCATCAGGACAGTGAAAATTCCCTCAGCTCTCTCTTGTCTTATTAGAAACCTGCTGAAAGTGCTAAGATTAATTTATTTTAATTTTGGATAGAGTAGGGGAGGGTTACAACCACTTTAACTTTGTTTGTTTTTCTCTGTGTCCTATTGGGAAGATTTCTCTACAAAGAATGGCAACAGTTGTTACCCTAACAAGTGTCCACTGCATAGATAGACCTATAAAATGTCTGGCATAAAATAGCCCTGACACCTTATGACTAACTTCATAATTCTCACAACAATTACCACCTTCTTAAAGCCATGCACACATTTCTCATAAAGTTGCACCTGCATACTTTTTTGCTAGTCACTAAAGACACCTGAAATATTGCCAGTCAGCAAAATGTGTGAAACTTCTTTAGTAAGACGAAGTTAGTAAACCAGCTCAATCAATTCTATTTTATATTGTGCTGATTTATCATCTGTAAACTAAAAGATAAACAGCGACTGTTGGTTCTGAACTTTACATTTCATCAGTGCTCTTTGCACTCCTTCATGAATAATCTTGCCATGGTCTTCAACACATGTGTTTAAGGCTGGGTTCACACCGAGGCGTATCGAATATGCGCGTTTGTCGCGCATTTCATTCCGCGCGTTTTACCGCGATCCGCAGGAAAAAAAATGTGCAACAAACGCGCGTTTCCGAGGGCTACCTGGCTGTATCCCAATGGATACGTGCGGCAAATACGCCCCAAACAAGCTACTGTACTTCTTTGGGCGTAGAGCGTTTTGCAGCGCGTTCCTACGCGCCGTAAAACACCCAGGTGGGAACCATGCCCATAGGCAATAATTGGTTTTCACATGTTGAGCGTTTTACAGAGCGTAGGAATGCGCTGTAAAACGCCCAGGTGTGAACCAGGCCTAACTGTGCACCAGAAATCAAATATGGGTAGAAGAGGTTAGCTTGATGGCAGTGGTTGGAAGTGATTGCAGTTGGATACTCAGTAGTAGGTTGTTGGCTACCCAGTGTAGTAAATACACAGGGTACTTTAAAATGATATAATAGAGCACTTCTGCCTTGCAGCACTGGGGGTACCCAGATCGAATCTCAGTCAGGACACTGCATGGAGTTTGCATGTTCTCCCTGAGCTTGCATGAGTTTTCTCCTGGTACTCCAGTTTCCTTCCACACTCCAGTGACATGCTGATAGATTAATTGGCTTCCATCTAAATTGGCCCTAGTATGTCTGTGTATGTATGTATGCATATGAGATATGGATCTTAGATTGTAAGCTCCTGGAGGGCAGGGACTGATGTGAATTTGCAGTATATAAAGCACTGCTTAAATAATCAGTGTTGTATAAATACCTGTAATAATAATATTTTGTTTATATTTAAGTTTTAGTTGTAATACATATCCACACTAATGTGATTTCAGTCACTTTTCCTGATGCATCAAACTGGATTGCATTTGTAGACAGAGCTGGTCAATGAACGTTTTATTAGAAACATATGAAAAACAGAACAAAACTCAGGGTCTGCTACGAATAAGTCCTCATATTTTTTTATAGCTTTATGCTGTTTTGCAAGTCTGCACATGCTTTCATACATGAGCCATGAAATTCTAATGTCAGTGGAGATTAGGCATCTGTTTGAAGCTAGTTAGTAAAGTGATATACTGAAGTACTAATTTGTCAAGTGCAATGACATCTGTGGTACTTAAATGGAAATAGTCGTGAAAGCTGTTGCTTCACATTTATTATAATTTTTTATTAAAAGTATTACTTACAGAACTTGATACTTAAATGTTTGTGTAAGATGTTTCCCTCCTTTACATTAAAGAGGTTAGTGCTTAATGCACTATATTCATTCTTTCTAAACTAGTACTGGAATCATCTGCAGTTAGTAAATGTAAATGCATAGTCTAATGTGTCTGGTATATCTCAAGTTATGTGTGGGTCTCCACTTCGGGTCATGTGCAGGGTTGATTCAGATCTGTTAGCATTTTACATTTTTCATTATGTTCCATTTCCACAACTACTCTTTCAATTAATAATCCATTCAGATGTAGTTAGGGGTGTTTACAGATAATTTTCAGAGTATTCTTGTTTTGTGTAAACTTTTACTTTGTAAGGTCAGAGCAAGAAGACCCGCTTTTGTCATTGCCAAAGTGATAAAATTGTACTACCTTTATTTTAATGTAAAATATACTATTTAGGAGATTTTGTTGTGCAACCTGTCTTAAACTGATTATTCAGATTGCTAAAAGGTAAACTCTATTATCTTCAAACTCAATGACGGAGGTCATTCGACTGGAACTGAGGGAAATCCAAAATTTGAGGTTGTCACTTGCACAGGAATAAAGGGGAAATGTTCCAATGTTCTTCTGGTGACAGCTGTCTAAGAGGATATGTTCCTCACTTTGGAGAGATAGTCCCTCGTTACCTGTCTACAGGACAAGAAGGTAATCAAAATCTCTCCAAAAATACTGTGTAT